CGCCGCGGAGCCGCGCCGCTCGCCGCCTCGGCTGCAGCCGCCGTCGAGTCATGTGACGCTCAGGCTGCGGCGGTGGCCCGGCCCCTCCCCGGCGGGCCCGAGAGAGGCAGGCGCCGGGACCCTGACCTTTCGGGAGCCCCGAAAGCAGTCGGTGAGACCACGCTTGGCGGCGGGGATGGGGGCTCTGTGGTCGCTCCGGTGTTAGGGGCCGTCTCGTGGCCCTAGGCAGTCCCGAGAGGTGAGAAGCGGGTGGAGGAGTCCGCTGGCTGAGGAATCCTGCCGTTGACCCCCCGGAAAGGAAACTTGGGGAGCTGGGGGTTGGGGGGTAGGGGGAGACAGGTGCAACTTTGTGGGTAGGCGCTAAGTCCTGCGAGGGGCACGCAGAAAATCACCTGGTGTAAGTGACTTAACCTGGCACTAATTGCACAAAAATCATTAAAAGTTTTTTTCCTGGACTTTTGTAGAATTATTTTTAAAATTATCATGATATGCATCGTTGTCTATATCTGTAGAACAAATCCTGTTTAGAACCTAGAATAAACGTAATAGCTCTGAAAATCAGGAACATGCAGTATTTTAATAAGCTCTCAACTGTTGAAGAATTTTATACAAGTATTTTTCTTCCCACGTAGCAACAAATGTTATTTTTTTCAACGATGATCCTATTTGCTGTTGCACCACTTAATGTACTTGTATTTTATTTTCTAAAAACATTGTCAAACAATTATCTAAGGGCTCTTGTAAAACTAAATTTAAATAGGAAGGCGGCAATTGTACTTAGTGCTCAAATTAAAAACGAATAAATGCTTGCAATGATAATTTTTGGGGGGCGATCTTATATTAAGACTAAACAGAAACATCTCTATAAAATGGTGACTGTGCCTCATTAAGGGTAACATTTGTTACATACTGGCTTTTTTTCTGCGTGCGCACAGGGGCCGGTATCCTGTACATGTTTACTTACTCTGTATCCGGTTCCTATGTTTACCTTCTATTTAATTTGCCCAGACTGTGTTACTTGTGCAGTTATGACTGAACAGGTCCCCTGGAGTTCGGGAGGGAACACAGGCCCTCATTCTTCTGGCTGAGTGGGGAGGGGAATGTGACCCAGGTGTTAGAGGAAAAGCCACTTCCCTGAAGAGCAGTTGTAAATCAAGGAATCCTTGCTTTTAGGTGGAGTCCGGGTAAACCTCGCTGGTCTCCCCCCCATCCATAATCCTATTCCCCCCAAAGAATTTTCCCTTTGACTTTTTCATGAATAGGTACACTATTCCCGTTCACTTTATACTAAATAATTATATAAAAGATTACTATTTAAAATGTTCATTGACATTCACTACTATCCATATATTCTTTTAATACTTTCTTCAGGCAGAAATGTGATTTTAACTTGGCCTTCTTCATTTTTCTAATTATAAAAATTGGGACACGATTTTAAATGAGTCAAGTATCGGTCTTTTTATTGAGTTGAATTTAATAACAGTCTTCCCTTCATTTCACTTTATGGCAGAGCCTTAGTTTTTATATAAAACAGTTATTTCCCCCAAACTTTTTTGTCTAATTATTTTCAATTTCAAAGTACTCCCTGAAAATGCATATTATAAATAAATAAAATTTAATGGTACAGAAAGTTAAATGAAAACATAAAAACATCTATAACAGCTCCCCAAGGATGACTATTGCTGAGTTCTGTAGGTTTCCAAAATTGTTCTCAACTAGGAATATTTGGCATAAATACATTTGTTAATATTAGCAAGCTTTGTGAGACAAAGAGTTGTATTCTTACTCAGTATAACTCCATAGTTATTTTACTGTTTTCTCTGTGAATGTTTTTATTACCTATCACAGAGAAGGTACAGAGTAGACAAAAATTCCCAACTTGGTATCTTCTGAATATTTTTATAAGAGAAATGGGTTTCTGACTTAAATGCAGTAAGCATCCCTCTTAGAGGGGCCCCTAAATAACTGCCCTGCACACTTTGTCATAGAGGTAGATGCTGGGATATCTGTCTTACTAAGTTCAAATGATGCAGTGAGCAAAAATTGAAAGACACTCCTAATGTTTATTTCACACACTAGGCTTGACTAGAATGTTTACACCGGAAGTAAAGGCAAAGATGTTATGCTACGATGCTTTTCATCCCAGTATGACCTCATGATCAGTCCGTAACACTATTGCTTCCTGTGTTAGATGACACCATGCCATCACTAAAACTGGTTCCAGGAGAAAAATCTCTACATAATTTTTTTCAGTCAAAACATCAGAGATTCTCTTGGAATATTAAGTATAAAAGGAAAACCAAAAATGTACAGCAGAGAAACACAGACATCACCTCAAAATGATGACTAGGGCCGGCGAGATGGCTCAGTGGAGTAAGTGCTTCCCTGGCAAGCGCAAGGGCCTGAGTTCAATCCCCAGTTCAGCCAAAACAAAACAAAACCAAAAAAAAAAGAAAAACAAGTTACCAAGGTTAACACTACCAATCTATGACATGACATTAATTCTTTGGTGGTCATGGATCAGGTGTTACCCTTAACAGCAAGTAAGATGAGTTTGTGACCTTCATTTCAGCTGTGACTTCTGAAGGTTTAATATGCTGTATACCTGACATGACAAATTGATAAAGATACCTCACCTACCTATATTGTTCCTCACCAAATCTTTTACTGCCATGTATCAGAAAAAAAAAAGTAGAGATGTTTTATAAAATATATGACCAGGTATATTCAAAAGTATCAAGGTTGTGAAGATAAAGGAAGAATGAAGAACTGTCACAGGTTGGAAACAGCCACTGAAATGTAATACCACAGGCAATTTCTTAGTTTTGATGTCAACACTAGGGAAGGTGGTTATATTAGATAGCTCTTTCAATGCTTACACACAGTACTTGAAACCTGCAATTTAAAGGAGGAGAGACTTAATGTGGCTTACAGTTTCAGGGAATTCAGTCCATGGTCTAAGACAGAAGGGTGTGGGAGAGCTAAGCGGTTTAGTTCATGGTCGCTGGAAAGCAGAGCAGGGCAACAGAGCCAGAAAGCAATGGGCCAAGACCATAGATCCTTTCAGAACTTAAACCTCTATTACCAAGTCAGACGCATCTGGAAGTGTGCTTTATCGATATGCTGGATAGTTCTTAACCAATCAAGTTGATGCACCATGATCAACATATACACATACACTCACACACACACACACACACACACACAAGGGATTTGGAGGTCAAATAAAAGCAAATGCTCCCTTGAAAACCAGACCTGGAGAAAGCTGAATGAAGCCTTTATAGACACATAGTCCACGCAGCTTTAGTCATGTTCTCAACAGTTAGGCTCCTTGTACGGCTTTGTATTGTAGCTAACAGTTCACTAATGTCTTCCTATTAGACAGTGAGACCTTACAGGGCATCTTATTCATCTTATTTCTAGCACCTAGTGTAACACCTAAAAGTAGTAGGATTCAGATGACAAATAAATCCCAAGTTCCAGGTATAGTGTGGGTTACACTTATAGTAACAGCTACTTAAGAGACTGAGGCAGGAGGAATCAATAGAGAATGGGTGCTTCATACACAGTAGAGTACTATGCCATAAAAGGATAAATTTGTATCATTTGTAGGAAAATTGATGGACTCTTTTGAGATAACATGAAGTGAAGTATGATACACAAGCCACAATAGTCCATGCTTCCTCTTATATGAGAAGGTCAGAGTACACATAAAGAACAAAATAGAAAGGAAAGAACCAGGAAGACATATCTTTTGCAAAGGAGAAAGGTAGCCAGAGATGGAGAGGGGAAGAGGAAGTAAAGGGAATTAAGATCTATTTGTACATGCACCAATTCTCCATGATGAGTGTAATCATTCAGTGCTACAAACCTGTACTAATACAAATATTTTAAAGATGAGGACTTCTTGAGTTCAAGGACTGCCTGGGAAACATAGCAAGACTATATCTCTATAATCCATTTAAGGAGAAAATTTATCATCTGTTTTTGAATTGACAAAATCTGTAATTTTATACTCCCTATCACTTCTTAACAGAGTTAGGTAATAAACCCAGAGTTTAGGGCTGACCAAATAGCTCAGCAGATTAAAGCGCCTACAAGCAGGTGCAGGGACTAGGGGTTCAATCCCCAGGCCTGCTGTGCTATCCCTGCCCCCGGGTGCACTGAGACAGGGACTGAGACTGGTCATGGTGGTGCATGTCTGTAATCCCAGCTCTTGGGAGACTGTAAACAGGTGGAACACTATGAGTCCAATCTAGTAGTGAGACCCTGAACACCCTGTAGACTCTTCCCTAAAATACAGAAAAACCCACAAACCAAAAAACAAAATAAAACCCCAGAGCTTCAACATGCTCTACTCCTCAACGTGCTCTACTCCTGAGCTATGCCCCAGGATAACCTTTTTTTTTTTTTTTTTTCCATTTTTTTTAAAGACCTTTTTCACTTTATCCCTCAAAATGTGTATTGCCTAAAAGTAGAACTTCCTTCACCAATGAGACCATCAGTTAATTTCCTGGTTGGTGATAAAAAGGATACCAAGTCTGTAGGTCTGTCCTTCGCACTGAGCAGGTAATCTGCTATGTAATCCCAGTCAAGATAAGAAGTTAAAATAGTTAACACTAACTTTTTATTGCTGCAGGTATAGCTTGGATTCTAATTTCCCACAAAGTAATGTACTGTACTGACT